TCCACTTCCTCCTCCTCCTCCTCCTCTTCCTCCCCGTCTCCCTCCTCCTCCTGCTCTTCCTCCTCATCCTCGTCCACCCTGCTCCTCCTCCTCGTCTTTCTCCTCCGGTTCTTTTCTTCCTCCTCATATTCCTCTTGCTCCTCGTCCTCCTTCTCCTCCTCCTCCTCATCCTCCTCATCGTGCCTCCTTCTCCTCCTCCTCCTCCTCCTCCTCCTCTTCCTCCCCCTCCTCCCTTCCTCCCCCCCTTTATCCTCCTCCTCCTCCTCCTCCTCTCCTCCTCCTCCTCCTCCTCCTCCTCCTCCTCCTCCTCCCCCTCCTCCCTCTCCTCCTCCATTCCTTCCGTATAGATAACTCCTCCTTGTCGCACCCCGAAGCCAGTTTTGAGGGCGAGCTGGGCGTTTCGCCTGCGTTCTCTTCACCATTGATGACTCCGAAGCTAAAACAGTGACAACAGCTTCACAGATGGAGGGCGGGTGGTTTTCAAAATGTGGCTTTCGCCGTAGCGTCGCGCACATTCGTTTTAAGTATTTGCAAGAGCTTTACGGATTCAGGGCAGGCCGTGTTCAAAATGTGGTTCTTGCCTTAGCGCCGCGCACATTTGTCCTCAAATTTGCAAGCGTTTTACGGTTTGAGGGCGGGTGGTTTTCAAATTGTGGTTCTCGCCATAGCGCCGCGCACGTTGGTTTTTACATGTGGAAGAGTTTCACTGATTGTGGGCGGGTCGTTTCTGAAATGTGGCTCTCGCCTCAACGTTGCGCACATTCGTTTGAAATGTTTGCGAGGGTTTCACGGATAGAAGGTGGTTCCTTTTCAAAGTGTGGTTCTCGCTTTAGCGCCGCGCACATTGGTTCTAAGAACTTGCAAGAGCTTCACGGATTGAGGGCGGGCCGCTTTCAAAATGTGGTTCTCGCCGTAGCGCCGCGCACATTCATTTTAAACATTTGCAGGGATTTCACGGATTGAGGGGGCGTCGTTTTCAAACTGTGGTTTTCGCTATGGTGCCGCGCACAATCGTTTCGAATATGTGCAAGAGTTTCCCATGATCAACGTACCCGAAATTGCGTTTTGGAAGGATTCAGGATTATGCGGGCGCAACCCTGATGGTGATTCGGGGTGTTCGAAGTCCCACACACCGCGTTCTGGCACGAATCCGGATCGTCAAGACGCAGCAGTCAGGTTTACAGGTGGCGTTGGAATTCTGGAAACAATGTGTTGGCACCCTTCAGGATCTTCAAACGGTTGACTTCCAACGAGGCAGTTCCCTCAATGGAAATGAACCGCTGTAGGGGCACATGAAAAAGGGAGCTTGGAGGGATGGATAATTCTAACATCGTTGATGACTCTTGGGCTTACACTGGTCCTCATCCTCCTCCGCCTCCGCCTCCTCCTCATCATCGGTCCTCCTCCTCCACCACCTCCTCCTCCTCATCACTCCTCCTTCTCAACCATCGCCTCCTCCTCCTCCTCCTCTTCCTCCTTTTCCTCCTCCTTACCGTTTTTTTATCCCCCTCCTCATCATCCTCCTCGTCAGGATCATCATCATCATTTTCATCATCATCATCATCATCATCATCATCATCATCATCATCATCATCAACACCATCATCAACACCATTACCATAAGCACCATCAGCCGCATCAGATTCATCATCACAATCACCGTCATCGTCACCATCATCATAATAATCCGCATCATCATAGTGGTCATGGTCATTATCATCATTACCACCGTTATTATGAGCATCGGCATTATCATCATCGTCTTCATCATCTTCATCTGCATCTTCATCATCGTCATCACCATCATCACCTCCTCTTCTGCCTCATCGTTCCTCCTCCCCCTTCCTCCTCCTCCTCCTCCTCATCCTCCTTCTCCTCCTCCTCCTCCTCCTCCTCCTCCTCCTCTCCTCCCCCCGTCGGCCGCGGCCCCGCTGGCGGCAGGCGGGCTGCTGCTCGATGCAGGTGTCATCGCGCTCAAGGATCGGGTGGCCCTCCCTCGACGGGCCGGCAGGGCCGACGCCGCCGCCGCGGTAGTCGTCCACGCTGTCGCCGGCGCCGCCGCCGTTGTGCCCGGCGTCGTCCTCGTCGTTTTCGTCGTCGTCGTCGTCAGCGTCGTCGTCGCCGTCGACGTCGTCGTCGTAGTCGGGGTCGTGGTACCCAGGCTGGCGTGCAGGACCCTGAAGGATCCTGCAGGATCCTGCAGGATCCTGCAAAGCCTGGATCACCCGGGTTTGCATTGACCCTGACCCGGTCGGTGCGTCCCGGACAGAAGGCATATCAAACCCGTAAGGGCTTCGCCCCCTGCCGCCGGCCCCCTTTCAATCAGAATGGGGCATGCCAGAGCTATGCTGTATTTTCTCGGTGCCGTCTTGAAACAATATCGGAACCTTATGGTAGGGCAATTGGTAAGTGGCATATCATATTTGCGAGGTTGTATAGCCTCGGGGACGCGAATCTTTTATAATGTAAAAGGGTTTGTGGATTCGGATACGTGAGCATCGCGTAATTCACGACGGATTATGGCCCCGGGGGACGCGAACATTATGTAATTTACGTGGGTGTATGGTCTCGGAGACGCGAGCATTGTATAATTTACGAGGGTTTATGGCTTCGGCGACGCGAATGTTGTGTAAGTTGCTAGGGTTTATGGCCTCGAGGACGCGGAGATTGTATGATTCACGACGGTGTCTGGCCTCGGTGACGCGGATATTGAGTAATGTACGAGGGTTTATGGCCTCAGGGGCGCGAATCTCAAGCATTTGTACCCGTCCCACGGCCCCAAAAAAATTCAGACAACGCGATTCGGGGACGCTAACCAAGACGCTTTTCGGCTCCCCACATTGCGCGTTTAGCAACAGTCATCGGCCCAGTGAAAGTTCTTTGAATTGTCGTCATGTCGCTCGATTGCGGAAGCCGATGGAAGTCAAACGAGGCGGAAGATGGCGGAAGGCCGTTGGAAGGCTTGCGGAAGACAGCGGAAGTAAATTACGCCTTGCCCGAGCCCCCCTACCAAACGTAGAAGCCTAGCAATGTAGTCTTCTGCCGTGGGCCGGGCGGGATCCCGCCTAGCTGGGATCGTTTCAAACCAAGACGGGGTTCCGAAGTTGCAGCATTCCTGGCATGTCAGGGTCGTCTTGAGATCATCTTGAGATCATATCTCGGTCATGCTTGCATCGCGCAGCCGGCGTGTTCACTCTGGGGCCACCCTGGGCGCGCGTGGATCCATCTTGATGCCATCGGGCCATCTCGGGGTTACTCATGGCTCGTGTGTTCGGTCATCTTCGAGTCAGCCTGGGACGGTCCAGAATCCATGGCGGGATCGTGTTGGGGTGGCGTCATCCCAGGGTCGTCTGGACGTTACTGTCTGTGACCTCAGGCCCTCTTGGAACCATTTTGCGGCCATGGGGGCGTCTTGGGATCTCGCGCGCGCGAGCGCGGAGCACGCGCGCGCGACAACTCATGTCGCCGATGGGCGTGCACACATTTACTTCTTGTTGCGAGTTTCCAAGGGAACTTTTGTTGGAGCCAAGTAACAGGAAGGAAGCAGGAAGGCGGACTGTAACACTGGAAACTGGAAACTGCAACTGGAACAGGGAGCTTCAATTCTAGTCTTCCCAGCCTGATGTCCCCGCAGGGGGGCTGGCGGATTAGAAATCGGCCTGCTGGCAGGTGCCCCACTGGAATTTCTTACCCCCGATTGCCCCAAAGACCCACAACAGCCCTGGGGCAACTTAGGACCCTCAAAGATCGACGGAGGATGCGCCCCACGATTTCTCATATAGACAACACGGATAGTAAGTTTGAGCAATTTTCTAAGGTCGCCCTTGCATCTTGGGCCACGGTTCATTCTTTGAGTTTGACAATCGCCAGTCGCCTCTTGAAGTGCTCTTGGTTTGCTTGGCGACCTCTTGATTCGCACAGCGGTCGAGGCCGAGCCAGATTAAGTTCTGTGGTCTCGCGCTTCTTCATTTCCCATCCTCTTCCAATAAAGATGACCTTTGCATCCTTCCGCTTCGGCCCATCCTTGGCCACTTTTACTGGCCGCGCCCCGCTCGAAAAGTTTTGACGTGGCCTTCCAAGGCCCTTGCATCCTGATCGTGCATCCTTAATATACGCGTTGACTGAAACACGATGGCATTTTGTATGTGTCTCCTGGAACGCTATCGCAGTATCGTTTCGTCGCCCCCATCTCCACATCCCCCTCCAGACCCAACCCATCTCACTCCCCCAGCTGGGGATGTACCCCTCGAAACCCGAAGGAAACAGCCTCCATCCCCATCTGAAGGGGGGAGGGGTACATCGGCCAGTGGGGCCCGCATGGGGACACGGGGTCGGTGAAACGATGCTCGCCTGGGTTGCCGCATGGCAGATCGGACCTCGCAGGTTGCGGGCGCTCCTGGGCCCTCGCGGGGCCTGCCGGGGTGCGGGCGCGCTCGCCGCCGCGGCCGACGTCCCTCTCGGGGCTCGGCTCAGCACGCGCCCCCGGAGAAAGGTCCGGGGGGTCGTTCGCCGTCGTCGTCGTCGTCGTCGTCGAGTGATATCCCGAACTGCTTACGAGCGCGCTGGACAGAACATGGCGGAAGCATCGACGGCAAGGCAGGGCGGAAAAAGAAGACACACGCGTGCGCACACACAACTACGCACACACACAGCCGCATAGTTGCACGCCCGCCCGCCACACGCAACACCCGACCGGGTAAGCACGGGCGACCTTTGTCGCAGGCAATGCCCACCACCCGAGTGTTCGTGGGAAGCTATGTGGCGACATTGCGTGTGCACCCGTTTCGCTTTGGGTGCAAAACCATGCGCGCGCGCTCGCGCACAAGTCCAAGAGACGGCGCCTTCCGATCTTGCCCAGTCAGGTGTCCCGAAAAGGGTAATTGCATTTGAGACATCTTATGAACATGGTTTCGGAGGGGTTATGGGCCAACACCCTCTTGGAATCGCCCCTGGAGAACTTCAGCACAGCCGAAAAGAGCTCCGACACGCCCCAAGGAGAACTCCAAGAGCGACCTGGAGCGCGTAAAGAGCGCTCGTATCCTCTGTGGCTCAAGCCAGCTTGCCCCCTGGAGACGCGGCTCCGGCACTTGCGGGCGGTCGGCCGCGATGTCGGCGACGGCAGCAGCATGCGGCAACGGTTTGACAATGACTCTCCCTGCCCTCTCCATTGACTTGGACGAGGTGGTGTCAGAGGATGGTGCAGCGAGCTATAGTGCGCGCGAGTCTGTGACACGGCCGCAGCCTTCCGCAGAGGCGTCGACTGGTAGATTTGAGGCGGCATCAGCCCCCAGTATCATCGGCGTTTCCACTGGCACCCCGACCAGCGCTTCCACTGGCAGCTCGATCAGGGGGCGCTTCTCGCTAGAGCCAGAGGTGTGTATGCGGGCTGTGCCCGTTCGTGCCTTGCTGGCTGGCTTCGGGCAGGTGTGGACCTCTGCGCAGCAGGTGCGAACGTCCTCGCGCGGGAAGCAACATTGGTTTCCGACGGCAGAGTACGACGTCTTCGTGTCGCACAGTTGGCGTGCAGGTAGGCTCGAAAAACACCTGGCTTTGCTGTTGACCTTTCATGGCCGTGCCGCGTTGGCCATCGGGATCATAATCGGGCCACTTATGGGTTTCTGCGAGGTCTACTTCTCTTTCCCAGAGGTGACGGACTGGAACGACGAGATGATTGTGAACGGGAAGAAAGACTACACAAAGTTCAGATGGTGGGCGGAAATTGTTGGATTTGTAGTAGTCATGTCCTTCCTGTGGTTTGGGCATTTGGCCGAGGGATTGTGCCGTCGCCGGCGGGCGGTGTTTTTGGACAAGCTGTGCATAGACCAGGAAAACCCCCACATGAAGCAGGCGGACATCCGGCGTCTGCCATCTTACCTCAACTCCACGCACACGCTGCTCATGGTCTGGTCGGATGAATTCTTGTCCCGGCTCTGGTGCGTCCTGGAGCTTGCGACATGGGTGCACCTCAAGAAGACGAATTTGTTCATGGTGCCTGTGATGACTGCGCAGATAGTGTGCGGGTATTTTTTCTGCATGCAGCTCACTGGTCTAATGAGCTCAGTCTTGCAGTATCATGGCGAAGCTCGACTCTGGCTCTACCTGGTCGTGGGCCCGATTTTTGTTGTCTGTGTCATCGCGCAGGTGCTGCTCCGAAGACGACTGAGGTCTCGTCTCGCATTGGACAGTCAGCTGAAGTCATTCGATTGCCGGAAAGCCCAGTGCACCGATGAGAACGACCGGGAAATGATATTGGAGCAGATTCACCTCTGGTTCGCTCCAGCAGGGATGACAGCGGCGGGCACGCAGAGTAGTGTTGACGATACGGAGGCGGCCCACATGCGTTTCAACAAGATGGTGCGTACTCAGGTGTACAAGGAGCTGCTCATGGTAAGCGGGGACGCGGCGAGCTTGCCTTACGACTGGGTGTTGCTTGCGTGCCTCTGGCACTGGTGGCGTTGGTGCGACATCACCGCGTCCGCGGCCGAGGGCTCGCTTCCCGTGGGCAATGTCATCAACATCGCCCTCCACGGTTGCTGCGTAACTTTTTTCTATTCGCCGTTGTTGCTGCAGTCGTTCCTATGGTGCATTGCGTGGACCGCAACGTGGGACCTCAGCAGGCTCAATGTGGGCGTGTGCATGTCTGCTGTCTCGTTGCTGATCTGCGCCTTGATCGTCGCAACGGATAAGCTTGCGGACAAGATCCTGAATGTGGATAGTTGGTTCATAACAATCGTTGCCGACACCGCCCTCTTGCTCATCACAGTGGTACTGTATTCTTCGCGCATGAAGTGGCTTATGAGGAGTTGGTTCTCCAGATGCCGTGCCGCAGGTGATGCCGTTGACTAGCTGGCAAGGCAATAGTCGCCTGCAGCGTAACCTTAGATAATTTGTTTCATGCTGGTGGCGTTTTCTCTTGCGTTCTCAAGGTCGGCGTTTTTGTTGCCGTTTGAGCGCCGTTTTTGCTGCGCTATCAGGTCCATGATCGGCGCGTGGCCGAGTTGCTCGTTATCTTTCCGTTTCCGGTGGGTTTGTGCACATCTTGTGTTAGGTTTCACAGTGCATTTCGTTCGACATTCACATCTCAGGATGTTGGCAGTCACATCCCAGGGTTAAGTTCCGAGAGCGACAAGTGGAATACGGACAACAAATCAGCGAAGAGCGTCGCCCGATCTGCCTGACATTGGCAGCACAGGCCGGCGGCAGCCTGTACGTTCACACATTGTCTTTGCATGCGCGCGCGAGGCCGCACATGCCTCGATGGGTACTCATTGCCAGCTGGATTATATCGCTCTGGGCCGCGTAGAACGCGTCAAGAATCAGAGGCGCCAGTCGTGCAGTTTCAGAGCTCTGCTGATGCGGTGGCTCCTCAAGAGAGTTCACGGCAGTGCTTGGCTGTGCTTTTGGTATTTGTGGTCTGGGAGGGCAATGAGGAGGGAGAAAGGTTACGATACGCAGACCGCGCATTCCGACGAGAGCACCTGCAGCAGGTGTGCATGTGCTGGGAGTCCTCCTGCGTGTTGTTCGCTTTCTCTGGCTACTGTCGTTGTCGGCGCGCGTCGAGGCTTTGCGCACGTGTCATGGGAGCTGCTCCGATGGGGAAGCGAACTGTCACTCGGAGAGAACATTCGAATTATGGAGTACGTGGAGACATTCGGGAGCACGCTGTGTGTGTGTGTGCAAACACGGCGCGCGCTGGATGGGGCCCCTCGGCATCAAGAGGTCTTGCATTCGGAATCCCAAGGGTGCGACGCCCCCCTCATATCATCCTATCATCTGCGCTCCCCGCGTAAGATCGAGAGACCGATCGAATTGTTCCTTCTGACTTGCTCATGGTTAGTGCGTTCGGCGAGCTTGGGATGTGCATCCTGGTTCGTCCAGTGCCCAGCGCACGCTGGTCAGTCTGCAGTCCCAGGTTCGCTTGGAGGTTCATCGTATGTGGATGCCATCTACTGCACACGTGGCGTTCCAGCATCAGGAGGGGAATGACGACACAGACAAGATGCTGAGGTGCACGGTTTCCAAAAGTTCGCCATGATTCATCAACGCTGCCCTTGCGCCCCGCGCTCTGTCTCTCCAGCTTTGTATGCATGCTCCTTCCTCGGGAGGCCGCACACGTATTTCCGTCGCATTATCCCGCCTGTTGTTTCCGCTCAGACTGCGCAAGCGGCGAACTTCCAGGATCTCTAGCAGATGCCGCTTTGGTAGAGGACATAAGTTACATGCATACTAACAGCGGCGAGCCCAAGGGGGAAGTGAGGGGGGGGGCGGGCCTTCTCATAAGGCTCGGAAGGCCTCGGGCTTTCTAAGAAATTGCCTGAGCCTTCCCCGAAGATGCAGAGCCGTTCTCAGAGGGAGCGAGGTCCTCAAAAAAAGTCCCGCCGCTTTCTGAGAAGACCTGTTTTTTCTCCCTCTTCCCCCCCCCCCTGGGCGCGCCGCCGAACCTGATGTTCCAGTTGAGCGACCGAAGACGATGGGGTTGGCTGCGCTGGCATTCGCGCGCAAGCTACCCGCATCAGCTCGCGCGCAACGTAAGCGCCCTGGTTTCCAACGTAGCGTGCCGCGCTGGCTGCACGCGTATGCTGCTGCTCAAGGTCGCACGCCAGATCTATTAAGACCCGTTTTTGTTCTTGTGGGGCCGCGGCCTCGCCGTGCCCTGCACCCCGCGGCATGCATTCCGCGCAGCTTGCATTCCGGTTCGGCCTTTGATGCCGCTGGGCCTCAGCTCGCGGGCCCACGCGCAGGTTTTCCGTTGGCCGCCTTGCAGCAGCAGAGAGTGCAGCGGGGACGTCGGCGCCTGCTGTGCTGGCCTCCTCCTCCTCCTCCTCCTCCTCCTCCTCCTCCTCCTAGGATGCAGAGCACGAGAAGATACCGATACTGCTACCCACTCTTCGTCGCGACGGCTGGATTCGCCTCGAAATCCTGGTCCTGGTCTGGATTCCCCAGGAGAGTTCCAGGGAGTAGCGGTATCAATATTTTCTCGTTCCCCAAGGATGCAACTCCTTGGAGGTCTAACTCTGGATCGGCACTGGTATATTCCTGATCGGCAACTGGCCTCATGTCGCAATTCCGCTTCATGCGGCTGAATCCTGGCTAATCCAGACAAGTCCCGCTGAATCTGGCTTGAACGCGGGGCTCAATCCAAGCTAATCAGGCTCAGTGTCATTTTAATCGGGCCCATGTGCTTTTAACCATTCGCATGGAGTTGTATCCTGACCTCATCCATGCAAGTCCCCCTATCGCGATGGGGGTGTCCATCCTGAATTATCCGCGCCGGCACCGTATTCGGTTCCATTTCTGCTATGCCCTTTTGGTTCATCGCTTTGCAAGGTGAATTTTGCAGAGCTTCAGGCTAAAGTGCTGCCTTCTGTCCCCCTCCCCCTCCTTCACGCAAGTCCCTGTGTCGCGAAGAGGTATCCATCCTACCCTTGCCAACGCGGAACTCGTTTCCACTGTTGCTGTGCCGTTATCCTAAAAAGGTATTGCTTTCCATCACGCCGTATCTCATGCTTGGAAGAGCTTCAGGCTCACATGTTCGGGGAAACTCAAGTTACCCAAGTTGACTCCACTATAGCCAGTACTCGTTTGGTCTGAGCATCGGCAATCCAGTCCTGGAATCTAGGATTCTGCAGCAAGCGGCCGCACTGGATTTTGCCGACGCGTCTACGCTGAAGTCGGGCCTGTCCCTCTACAGGGGGAATATTCAGAATAATAAAAGATAGTCCTGGGACTATCTTTTATTATTATTTTACCATTTTGGTATATTTTTGAGTATGTATTATTTCTCATCGAAAATCCCCCTGTAGGGGGGACACACCCGACTTAAGTCCACGCAGGATGATTCTGAGTCATCGAAAGAAATAGCGCTCAGCGAGCGCCCCACGAGGCTCTCGCGAGCGCCCCAGAAGGCCCCAGAGGGACGGCCCAGGAGAGCTCCCGAGCGGCCCCAGGAGGCGCAGGAACGGCCCCAGGGGGAGCCCCCCCGAAGCTCCCCAAGCCAAGCCCAGGCAGCACAGGAAGGTCCGGGCGTCCCCAAAAGAACCCCGACAGGCCCCCAGGAAGCGCCACAGAGACTCTTACGAGGCCCCGCAGAGGCACGAAAACGGCCTCAGACGCTCCTGGTGGTCCCCATCGTAGCTTCGACTCAGACCAATCGGCCAATGAACGTCGCCTCTTCCACGTCCTTCTCCTCGCACTCCTCATCCCTCTGTTGTTCGTCGTTCTCCTCCTCCTTCTCGTGCTCAGTACTGTCCTCCGTGTTGTCCTCCACGCTGTTCTTTACTTTGTCTGTATCTCGGTCCGGTCGTCCTCCCCGTTTGTCCTACTCGTACTCCTCGTCGTTCTCCTTCTCGAGAGTTTAGTCGTCTTCCTCCACTTCGTCCTTCCCGCTCTCGCCCTCCTCATTCGCACTGTCCACGTCTTCCACGCTTCCGTATTGTTGCCCCTCCTCGTCGTCGATTTTGTCGTCTTCCTTTCGTGTTCGGTCTCCTCGTTTTCATCCTCTTAGTCTTTGCGCTTGCCTTGATCCTCGTAGTCCTCCGTAGTCCTCCTGGTCGTCCTCGCTTCCCTCTAGATCTCCGCTCTGTCCCTCTCCTCACCCTCTTCCTCGTCGTCCTCCTTTCCCGTCTTCTCTTCTTCGTCCTGCGGGCCGAACGGACCAAGACGGTGCTTCCCGATCTTGCTAGCTTGCAAGGAAAGGGGTGGAGGTGGAGGAGGAGGAGGAGGACGAGGACGAGGGAAGGCAATGGGGGCAGGAGGAGGAGCCGAGGAACCGCAAGCATGGATTGAGGCACGTGGACTAGAGACGGGCCCTGCTTCCATGCGCAATCGACCTGTGCCGTCGCCACATCAGGCGGCACTGGCTTCATGCTTCGGAGGGCACCCTCCCCGATCCGTGGATCTGGCGCACGCGTGGCGGATCTGGCGCACGCGTGCCAGATCCACGGATCCTTAGGGAGGACGCGCGCCGTGTCAGTACGCGCCCGAGGGAGGGCGAGGGCGAGGGCGAGGCGCCCGACACGGCCCTCCCGGAGGCCTGGCCCCGAGACATCGGACCGGCCCTCCCAGGATCCTTGTCTCTCATGGCCAGTCGGGCGTATAGCGTGCGCCGCCCCGGCTCCGACGCTGGTGGCCCCTCGTCATCAGCATCAGCAGCATCATCATCATCATCATCACCATTAACGTCAACATCAACATCATCGTCATCATGATCATGATCATCATCAAAATCATCATCAACATTATCATCATCAGCATCAGCATCATCATCAGCATCATCACCAACATTAGCATTTTCATCAGCATCAGCATCAACACCATCAACACCATCATCGGCATTCTCAGCATCATCATCATCATCGTCATCATCATCAGCATCATCTTCATCAGCATCGTTAGCATCATACTCATCATCCCCATCCTCATCCTCATCTTAATCATCACCATCACCCTCATCCTCATCACCATCACCCTCATCCTCACCATCATCATCACCAGCATCAACAGCATCAGCACAATCACCACCCACCAGCATCATCATCCGTTATACACATCAGTTCCATCCTCCTTCTCGTCATCATCCTCATCGCCATCACCAACAGCCCCATCACAATCACAATCCTCAGCATCATCGTCATCGTCATCATCATCAGCAGCATCATCACAATCACCATCATAATCACCATCACAATCACCATCACCATCACAATCATTAGCATCACAATCATCATCACCAGCAGCATCAGCATCAACTCATCATTATCACCAAACTCATCCTCATCCGCATCACCATCACCATCACAAGCATCCTCATCCTCTTCTTCATCATCATTGCCATCATCATCATCCTCATCATCTTCCATCGTCATCATCACCATCATCGCCGCCACCATCATCATCACACTCATGCGTCCAATCATCGTCGTCATCGTCATCACCATCAGGCGTATCATAATCCTTGTCGTCATCGTCACCGTCATCATCATCATCATCATCATCATCATCATCATCATCATCACCATCACCATCACCATCACCATCATCATCAGCGGCATCATCCTCATCCTCATTATCATCATGGCTGGCATCATAAGCGTACGTATCCCAACATCGTTATCATCGCCAACATCATCACGGCCAGCATCATCACCATCATCTCCAGCATCGCTATCATTGCCACCATCATCATCATCATCATCATCCTTAGCATCATCATCACCATCCTCAGCATCATCATCATCATCATCCCGATAACGATCATCATTATCAACACCATCATCATCATATTCATTATCATCAGCATCATCTTCATCATCACCATCATCAGCAGCAGCACCATTAATATCATCATCAGCATTACCACCATCATTATCATCTTCTTCGCCTCCATCACCAGCAGCAGCATCCTCAGCCTCGGCTCTGACGCACAGGACCCGTCGTGGCAGTCGCAGGCAGTCAACGTCAGCACGCAGCTGGTGATCGAGTGGCGCGCGCTGACGGTCGTACTTATCGACCGCCTCGCCGAGGACGGGCGCCTGGGTGGCTCGCCGTGGCGTCGTGCCGGGGCCCTGCTGCCAAGGGGGCCAGGGGCGGGGAGCGCCGAGGGGGAGGAGATGGTGGGGGGGAGTGTCCATGAGGGCGGTGATGACTGGGGGGCGGGTGTCATGATCGCCTCCCTTTGTCTCTCTTCCCTCCCTCTCCTCGTCCGTCTGTCTGTCCCCCATATACTCTCCTCACTTGCACCGCCAGTGACCCTCGGAGCGGTGCCCCAGAGGTTCACCTGGCACTGGTTTGATCAACCCTCCTCAGGGGCCGGCCAGCCCTGCGAGGGGGGCAGGCTCCGTCAGACGACTATGCAGCCATCAGGCGTCAGGTGTCAGGAGGGGGGGGATATCCTGGCCAGGGCCATGGTATCTCCCCACATTTGATGTCCCCTCGTCGCGTTTCAATATGCGTTCCCTGTGGGCCTTCACTGGCCCGCGCACAAATGCCTCGGGGCGTGCTTTGCGCCTCTACGTGAGCTGATTCGCCGATCCCCCTATGCTTGTGGAAGTCGATTCATGGAGAGGAAGAGTGCTGCCAAATAATTTCCAGATGTCTGAACTATGTTTCAAATCTGTTTTGAATTTGTTAAAACATGTTTTAAACGTTGTTGAAACATGTTTTACACATCTAAACCAATTTCTAATTGAATGATAGGATTGTTAGAGTGTCCATTGTCATGGCATCCGCAACCCTATGCTCCCTTTTGGTGCGACCAGAAATAGTCAGGGGCAACATCAGGGGGGGGGAATGGCCTTCCTCGGCGCGGCCTCGGCCCTCTGACCGACGCTCGAGCGGGCCTCGACTCGAGGCTCTCAGGGGCGACATTCGGGGTTCGCAGGTTTGAGTCGGCTGGGGGTCTGAGGAGGCCCAGGGCTGGTTTCGGCCAGCAGGAAGGTCGAGGCTCTGGGTTCGGCTCCATCAGATCTATCGGTTTCTCGGCCTCCAGGGGCCGTTTTCGGCCCCCGGGACCGTCAATTATTGATCTGGTGTAGAAAATTGCACCAGATGGACACCGGGAGGGGTCCGGGATCCGATTTTGATCGGATTTGCCTTGCTGCCCCCCTTCTTGACAGATTTTCTTGGTGCCCATCCAGGTCAGACCCTCCAGCCGTATCCAAGGTTCCAGGCTCTCGGACATTCTCGTTGGTTTTCGGCAGTTTCCCGTCTTCGGGGTGCGTTCCAGCAGCTTCGCGTCGCCGAGTGCGTTCCAGGGGTGCCCGGATATCGGGGGCATATCGCCCATCTATCGGCGATGTATCGTCGATGTTCGCCCCCCAGAGCAAGTCCCCCCCTGGATCGTAGCCTCTCAAATGGGTACGGGACTCAATGTGATGGAATGCAGACCCACAGCTGTTCCTGCCCATTCTGGGCAGGACTCGATGTCGGTGTTGCCGCAGACGCTGACCGCATAAGAAAAAAGGTCGCCTGCCTCTGGCAGCCACTGTCGGTTTCAAGCCAACGTTCGCTGTTAGGCATCGTATATATTTTTCTGTACACACTTTGTGCGCGCCAAGGGGAGGGGAGGGGGAGGTGGGGATGAGAATTAATAGGTGCATTCGCGCCGTGTCTGAGGTCCCGACCCTCCGTCCCGTCGTTCCCACTGCGTTGGCCCCCTCTCTGTTCGCAGAGCCAGGTGCTGGGACAGACTTTGATCCCGGAATGACAAGTGAATCAAATAAGGGGTTGGTTTTGCGAGCGTTCGGGGCTACTGACGAATGCCTAGCCTTGATCTCTCCCTGGGGCATCGCCAGGAGATCCGATGCGGGAAATGGCTCACAAGGACGGCGCCGAGAGCTCTGGTCATGATTCGTTGCAAAGCGTAGTGTTTCCATGACGTCAATGGGCATCAATTTCCTCCGAACTATTAAGCAATCGACACTGCGCAGGGAAGAAGAGGAGCCCTCAAGCCATCCGTTCTAGGCTCGCCAGCCCA